TGGATGCGTGGCTCTGCGCCCCAATCATGTCACCCACCATCTTCCAGTCCCTAGACTTCACGGAGTAGGCGTCGGCCACGAAGCCCAGGCAGCAGCAGTTGAGGAAGAGCGTGTTGAAGAGGGACCAGATGACGTGGTCGGGCACCTGGGGTCCACTCTGGATGTTGATCACGGTGGACTGCATGGGGGCGGCGTGGTATGGGGCCCGCAGCCCACCCATCTTGAGCTCCTCGTGAGCCATCTCCTGGGCATGAGGACACACAGAGACCTGCAGAATCCAGATTGTAATTCTTGAGAGTAGAAATCTCATCTTTCTCCTGAGGAGCGGCTGGTGGTTTTGAACAGCTGCCCTTGCAGTTAGCGGCCCAACTCGTAGCTACTGTGCCATCAAGGCGCCTTCCTTGGACCACAAGACTGTAAGACTAGAAATGAATAACGTAAGAACAAGAAAAACGGCACCCAATAACAACCAGTTTTAAAAATAGGTTATAGAAGAAATGCATAATTACAAATTCATACAATCAAATGAGAATGAAAACAACATAATCAAAATACTTGGAACACGGCAAAAGAAGTACTCAGAGGTCAATTCATTAGCAATAAATGCACACACATTAAAAAAAAGGTTAAAAAATAAAAATGCGCCCATCAAACAAGAAAACTAAAATCGATTTCAGCAATTAAGAGAAAGCAGGGGGTAAAGTCAGGAGAAAGGAAATATTAAAAAGTAAGAATAATTGAGAAAGCAGTAGCCACCATCAACAAGGCCACAAGTTGGTCCTGCAGGAGGATGAATACAACAACTGGGAAATATAACCAAGGAAGAAACGGAACCGGTTGTAAAATACTCCAGACAACGACAAATTCCGTCCCAGGTGGCTTCACTGGAGAATTCTCCCCTTCCGAGAAGAGCTAACACAGTGGTACTCAGACTCTTCCTGGAAATGGGGGTTAAAAAGCATGGAATACTTCTGAATTCTATGGAAAAAGTAAAATCTTGTTACAAAGACAGCAACCAGCCAAAGCAAACTCCTCCCATTGAGTGGATTCTGATACCTGGAGACCCTAGGAAAGCACAGAGACTCCTGCTCGTGTGCTCCTGTGGTTTCCCAGATTGTCTTTACAAGAGCAGCCTCCTCTTTCCCCCACAAAGTGGCTGGTGGGTTCAAACCACCAACCTTTGGTTAGGAACCAAATGTTTAATCCACTGTGCTAACAGGGCTCCTGTGTGGTGGTTAGGGGCCATCAAGTCCGTGCTGACCCTT